CCCCCCCCCCCCCCCCCCGCCAAGTCCCGACCCAAACTCATCACCCCACCTACGTCAGTTGCACCTCGTAAGCATAATTGACTTTAAAGTCAAAAGTTTTGACTTTATGCTTACGAGGTGCAATTGACGCAGGTGGGGTGATGAGTTTGGGTTGGGACTTGGCGGGGGGTTTACCGGAAGGGTTAAGGGGTAGGAATCATCAATTTTATAAACGGAGTTTCGTAGGGGGGCAGTGGCTTCCGTGGCCACTGGATTCCAGTGGCCATGGAACCGGTCCGTTGTTAAAAAGGATAATAAAAAGATCTTTTCTATACAAAGAAAAAAGAGTTATGTGAGAAGATCGTTTCCGGAGGAAAGTACTCCCTCCGTCCAAAATTATTTGCCACATTTGCTTTTTCAACAGTCGCGGGAACTTTTGTTTATGTCTACGTTTTCATTGGTTATTTGATAAAATAAAATATTCTTGACACCTCTTATTTCGAAGAACTTTTCATGAAGTTTTTTTATATGTAATTTTTATTTTTTATTTCTTTACCAATATGTAAATAAAATGAATTGAAAAAACTTGATATTTTGCCTCGGTAATAGAAATGTGACAAATAATTTGGGACGGAGGGAGTAGTATTTTTTTTTTGTTTTTTTTTTGTTTTTTTGTTTTTTGATGAAAACGTAGCAGTACTTAGAATAAAACTTAAATTAATTTACCCTCATTTTATTTTTAAATGTTAAATCTCAAGTAAATTGGATCCAACCATATACGCAATATGTTTTGTACAGGCCCAAATAGGATACCACAGGGTTGGAGACCTTAAATGGAGCAGCTAAAACGGCCCTTTTCACAGTCCACTTATGTTCTTTATATTGGAGGCTTTGTGGCCCAAACTCTACTAAATACTAATAGATGCCTAGTGTTCAAATTCCAGAGAGCGAATAAAATTTCCGTGACTTTGGGGCCCAGCCCAAACTCTGTGTATTCAATATTTCAATCTTGATTTTGTAGGTTTTTTTTTTGAATTTTAAAAGTTTATGGTATGCTATTGAGATTTTAAAAATTCATCTAAAATCAAGATGCATTTAGATTTTGAGATATTCTTCATGGTATTAAAAAATTATTTAATTGTATAGAAATGATTCTTTCAAAAATATACTTTAAATTTAGATGATACAAATACTAAAATATCTATTAATTAATCATCATTTAAGTAATATTATTTAAGAAGAATTACTTGAAGAATAAATCTTAATTATAAAGTATTATGCAAGTAAATAGAACTTATTTAGGATTCAATAAAAATACTCCGTACATTATTTCAAAGGACTATTTTAAGAATTTAGTCTAATTTGATTGACCGGAGTGTGCTTATATGAATGTTTGACTGACCCGAGTTGCTACCTACCGGCAATTATACTTTGTTTGTTCGGGTGTAGACCCCACCACCTCATCATCTCCATATTCAGCGACGACCCACACAGTGACTCCGTTTGGCATCAGCATCAGAGATTAGCGTTAGCGTTTTGAAATAAACTATCCGAAGGTAGCGTTTAGCGTTAGCGTTTTCAGAATTAATCTGCACCTTAAAATTTTATCCAAAACGCTAACGCTAATCGAAAACGCTGTTACCAAACAAAGCCAGTATAGCATCCTCTGGTTATATCCGTTATATCTCTCGATCTACTTTTCATTAGATTACAGAGTAATTTTCACACTAGTTTTCTAATATACTCCGTATTAATTATTCCCTTTGTCTTTGAATAAATTGTTCTATTTGGAAATTAAAAAATATAATATGGTTACATAGAAATTATTTTAAAAGTTTAAGACGAGGTAAGTTTGGATACTTTATTTTTGCAATTCGAATTTAATTTAAGATTAAGTCAATTGATTATGCACGGGTTTAGATAGGATTGTCATTTTTTTTCAATATTAAAACATTTCCATCGGATTGGAAATTTAGGGCCTGGATTGGAAATTTAGGGCCTCTTTGGAAATAGAGTTAGAGATTAGCATTAGCATTTTGGATAAAATTTAATCGGTGTAGTTTACTTTGAAAACGCTAACGCTAAACACTGTTCGTAAATAGCCTTTTCAAAACGATAAACCTAATTGCTAACGTTATTCCCAAACATGCTCTTAATATCCAAATTAGATCCGACTTAGTTCGGGTTCAGATTTCATTTGAGATGTTCGGGTCCAGATATTGTCATCCCCAAATTATTAATCGTAATTAGTACTCGGTACTCCGTATTATCGTGTGAGGTTTAATACGGCAGCTCTATATTAAAGGAGAGTAATTTGCTTAACAACTTTCCCTTCTCCTTTTCGTTTGGGAAAATTCCTCTGCCCGCTTTCCTCTTTTAATCCGTTCCCTTTCTAAACCCCTGCAAATTTGCAATATACGGAGTATTACTATTAATCAAGCAGACACAAAATTTATTAAGGCTGATGATATGGACTCCGGAAACAGTTCATCCGGCGGCGGCGGCGGCGGCGATAATGAAGAGTACGATTCATCACGCGGAGGAGAAGACCCGATTTCCGGATACTTCATTTATCATTTTGAATCTAATGCCGGATCTCAGCTCTTTCTGTCGTCAATCCCGCCCGCTCTCAGTTCTCCATACTTCGACAATAATCAGCAACACGATTTGATTGGGCCTGGGCCTAGTCTCTCCGGGTTGCTATTCGGAGGATCCGAACCCGGTTTCGCCACTGGCCTTGCCGATTTCGTGCCTAATCCTACTTCGTCGTCATCGCCGATCCTCGTCGGGGCCCGGCAGGAAAACGGCCACTTTCTGGACCCGTCATCGTCGGCGCAACCGGCGGTTGAGAATCCTGGACCCGGGTCGGGTTCTGCGGCTCCCAAGAACCCCAAGAAACGGAGTCGGGCCTCGAGGAGGGCGCCCACCACCGTTCTCGCGACGGACATCGCGAATTTCCGGCAGATGGTCCAAGAGTTCACCGGAATCCCAGCGGATCCGTTCGCTCGCCGGCTGGACCTCTTCTCCGCCGCCGCTTCCCCGTCAGCGTTAATGAGGCCGGCCCATTTCGATGGTCCTCCACTTCTTAGGCCATCATCATCGGCAGCCCAAAGTCCGGGGCTCTTGTTCAACACCGGGTCGGGTTCAAATCCAAGTACTAATAATACCAACAATCTAGGAATCACAACACAAGATGAACCAGATTTGCTCCACCATCCACTCCTACAATCGGGCAACCAGGAACCGATTCTTAAGAGCAACCAAACTGAAGACCGATCGAGCTGATCGAAGTTACGGTTAGTGTTCAAGTCCTCCAAGATGAATTGACGACCGAACCGTATTGTTTCGGGTATAACGTATGTATACCATGTAATAATGCAATCACACGTACACATGTTGCACTCAGTTCTTGACTTTAGATGAACAAATTTATTGCACTAAACAATGTTGATCTCATAAAAGACTTGTTTATAAAATTTACTTTTCATCTGAAGAGTTTCATGCGATCGCTATAGATTTACAAATTTAGATGTAAAAAATACTCCATATTGGACTTTCAATTACAAATTTGATTTTTTTCATTGGGTTGGTTTAAATACATCACCCTATCATAATTTTGTTGATATTAAGACCACAAGTTCAGATATCATTAATATTAAATTTAAATGTGTAAAATATTTTAGTAACTCATCTAGAATTGAAATTATAATTTGAATTTTTTCTATTAGAAGCCGTCATGATTTCCTCTAAAATTTATTTGGGAACATGACAATTGTGAAATCGTGACAAGTTGGTATTTACGTAGTAACATTTCTATGAACTCGCAATATGAGTCTCATATTAGTTTTAAGGGTACAATTCGTTGAAGCTTTAAATTATTCTCAAATCGTGTATGTGAACGTTGCATAGTTGGTAAGTATAGGATTATAAAGGGAGTAATATTCGTGTATGATTCCTGACAACTGAACTATGATGGGAGATCACTATGATAAGTACCATGTGTAAGCTATACTCTTGATCATAGATATGTTATTAAAGTAATAAAGCCCAATTTACCTTTTCATGATCGTCAGTACGGAGCTGAAGGACGCTGAAGGACTCTGAAGATGATGTTCATCCTCAAATTGTTCTCAAAGCATTCGTCTATGAATGGAGTCACGTCTATCCCCTCCCTTTACCTCAAGCTTATTTTGTGGTCTTGGTTTATTTGTTGTCATTCTTGAACTGATAGTTGGTCTAATAAGTTGCTAGAATTGTAATCATCTCTTCAAAAGAAATTAACACTTGGACTTCACAAATTTAAGAAAAGTTTGAAAATTTAAGTGTATGATTGAGCATGAGCATTTTTATGAAAGGGCAAGAAATTTTATACGGAGTAAATTATACTATCTCCATGTCAAAAAAAATTCTACTTTGATTTTCTTTGTCAGTAATATTCTTTGACTACAAATTACGGAGTATAAAAAACATATTAAATTATAACATAAATTTAATATAATTAGATTTTTCTTATAATATAGTTCTGATATATCAAATTTATAAATTTATTTATTTAAATTATGTTTAGTTCATAGTCAAAGAGTGTCAAAGTTTGATTAAGTAAAAAAATGAAGGTCTTTTTTGAACGAAGGGAAAATATTAATATGAAAATGTTGAATATTTTATTTCCATTTACCAGGAGTATAAAATTTGTTTGTGAAATTTGCATTAAATAGGACTAAAACATACTTCGTAAGTAATTTCTCAATGTAGGAATTAAATTTTTTTATTCTCTAAATAGGACTAAATAATGACTAGTGAGAAGAATAATGTCCAAGTGATGCTAGACATTTAGTTGAATAATGACTAATTCATAATGACTAAAGGTCCTAAATTAGAAAATAAAAATATATAGTTATATATTGGAAAAATCATTATGTTTTAGTACTAAAAATCTTTGTTTTAGTTGTAGTTAAGTACTACGTATTTTTTTTTTCAAATAAATTTTCGAAACGATTTGAAATTGAAAAGAGAGGAGGATAAGGATGGGGGCGGCGGTGCTTGAAATGATTGGAATAGAGAGATAATGGATGACCAGGTAATGGGCCGTTAAAGAGGGGAACAAATCCACGTGGGCATTATAATTGGGCTCATCTGTTATCATCATCATCATCATCTCATAGTCCACTTTAAAACATGTGCCCACAACATGCCCGCAATTGATTGCGATTGAGACTCTAATGCCATATTATTGTCTGGTTTAGATTGGACTTTTGGAACCTCTTTGAGGCCCATAACCCCACTTGCCCATCTTTTTCAAAAGCCATACACCTCAATGATCATATGTACATAGACACATATAGGTGAAATATGAATATTTGTTTTTCATATTTTAGATCCAAATTTGGATTATGTTCAAAGGCACCCAAATTTGATTAGGATTTTCTCTAAAAAAAGTATAAAATGATTCAATAATCTAAAAATTTCATTACAAATAAAGTCCGAGTATTGAGTTTACAAAAAAAAATAGTATTTCATATTTTCATTTGTTCGAAAAAAATATCCTTATTTTCTTGTTTGCACTTCTTAAAAAAGTGATTTCTTTCTCTTTTTTTAAGAAAATATTTAGTGGCTCATAATCTTTCTCTCTCCTGCATTACTTTTAACTACAAATTTTTATTTTTCTTAAAATTTGTACCAAATTAAACTTAAAAACATTGATTGCGATGGAGGAAGTAATACAAAGTACAAACTACAAAAATGTACATTTTATACTCTCTGAGTCTCATTCTAAGCTGTTTATTACTGTTTACAATGTTTGAATGAAAATTATTTTTAAATAAATTTATATGAAAATTAGAGTAAAATAAAAAAATACATTATATTTAAGATGGGAGGAATAATGCACTGGATAATTCAAAAGCCACGACCCGAACATTTTGTTTAGCTGATTGATTATTCAAAACAGTCATATGAGGTCAAAACAACGTCTGAAAAGCTAGCTATTTGCCAAACATTGTCTTAAAATGTTAGAATTTTATTCATCAAAATAAGGAGATAGTAAATGAAAAGGATAATATATATGTCATGGACTGGAATTAGCCTCCGTTTGGTACAAGAAATTTAAACCATAAATTTATAATTGAAGGGTTCAATTTCAGTTCTACTATTTGGTAGCAAAAAAATATGTACTCTTATACTACAATTTCATATCAGTTCCATATACTCCCCATATGATTTTGTGTTACCAATTCAAAGGATTTAGAATTATAATATAGTTTTTACATATTATTAAATTATTTCAAAAATTTTACAAAATAAGAAGTGACAGAAATATTCTATTTTATGAAACAATCAATGAAAGCACTCAAATAAACAAAATTATCCAATGATGGGAGAAAAAAATTGTGATCAATTTTAGGAAAGGGGGGGGGGCAATAGACTTCAATTTATTACATATTAAAATTTCTTATCATTTTGTTCAAAAACGAGATTCTAATAAGATCTTGTTCGTAGTTATACTCTAAGGGGGTGTTTGTTTTTCTGCCAGAAGACCTTCTGGCGTTTTTTGTCTGTGCCGCGCAGACGCGCGCAGATGATGGGCTTTGCAGATTGTTTGTTTTTTGGAAGACATTTCACTCAAAAAGGTCTTCCTGGCATCTTCTTGGAGAAGACATTAACCATTGTCTTCTAACATCTTCTAACATCTTCTCCTTTTTTTTCTACTTCTCTTCACCACCACAACCGTCCACCGCCACCGTCCACCACCACCACCGTCCACCATCACCGTCACCGTCCATCACCATCGTCGTCCACCACNTATATAGCAATCTACAAACATTAAAAAACAAACAGTTTTCTTCTTGCAGACCGCAGACTTTCGGTCCACCACTTCTCCTGCAGATGTCTACAGTAGTGGTCCGCAGACTGCAGACCTTTTCCTGCAGAAAAAACAAACACCCCCTAACTCAATTTTTGTTAGTGTTCACAAGTCACAACATTGATTGAGTTGTGCTTGGGTAATCTTACAATTTCGATCACATAGACGTTAAAAAAATATTGATGGTGGAGAGTGACCGTTATTGTGTGTGCTTATGGTGCAAAACATGGAGTATATAGTGGTATCGAAATTGGGGGATTACCTACCTTTTTAAAAATTGATAATCTTTAATTAATTTATTGAACATCATTATTCTCATTACTCTCACAATTATGTCATACCTTTTGTCTTCACAAAATCAATACGTTGACGAAATCTTTGTTGTGACAAGTATTCTTTACAAATTACAACTAATATTATTATAGAAAAAGAGGTGTAGGTTGACTAATTCTTTCATAAGCTCTACACACTTGCAATTCTTCTTACGGATATTAAGAGAGTGTAATATGCAACCTATAACCTTTTTTTCACATCTTAACATATTTTATTCTTGCGCTTTTTAATTCTGGAATTCATTTTTGAAAATTTTATGAAGTCATGTCTCATACCAAACATTTTGTTTCATACAAAGTAAGTCATAACGGAAAGAGTATTAAAAAAGACCGTATTAAAAAAGAACAATGCTAAAAACTCAACACGAATGTTTTCATGAATGATAATTATAGATGATTTTATATATACACAGACGATAATCATTTCTGTCGTAGATGTGTGTATCTATAGTTATCATACATGAAGACATCTCGTGATAATGCCTCTTGTAAGTATCTAAGATGATCCATTTAAAAAAAGGACGGCAAGGAAGGAGGTGAGTATGTAAGGAATGTTAGTGTGTGGGATTGATTTACTTTTGTTCGTTGGGTGTGTTGTGGAAGATATGGTTTGAGTGGGGTGGTGAGTGGCCTTTGGCAGGTTTTTGTATTTGGGGGAATATGTCCTTGTGGGAGTCACGTTGCCTGTCTTGCCTGCCTCACCCTTTTGCTTTGGAAATGTTTCATCTCTCCCCCAGCTTCGGCTATCCTCAAAGATCATCAGTATTAAATTTGAAGTATATTATGATTGATTTTTGATACCCACAATGGGAGAGTTTTAGCTTTTCTTTGGATGACGATAAGTTGGGGAGAAAGAAAATGTAGGGTGAGAAAACACGACTCTCAATACATTTACCGGGAAGGAGAGAATAAAGTGAGTTGGTACAAGCTACACAATTTTCTCACTTCATGTGGCAAGAAGAGTATTTTTGGGAGAAAAAAAAAAAGCGAAATTACAATTTTGCCCTTATTGTCAATCTTTCACCATTCTTTAAAAAGGACAAAAATGTCTCTTTGTGGTATCACATTTTATTTCTTATCACATTTTATCATCATCCAAATATCTATTATTTTATTTTTATTTTATCATTTCACCATTTTCTTTTCTTCCATTTTTGTTTTTCCTCCAAACAAAGGGTGATGCAATGTGATTGTTCCTTATATGCACGAGAAGATCACTCAAAGGATTATACTAAAACTTTACTGTCGTTTACTTCCTACTATTCTCTTCGACCAGAGTGTGAGGGCGCCTGAGGTGGGCAGTCCACACCTCCACATCCACCGTTTTTAGGGTATGTTTCCTCTCCTTTGGTTATCCAATTTTTTTCTCCTAGTGACGTAACTTTGCTGGTTGAAAGCCGAAGTGAATAATTAGACGAATTTAGATTCAACTTCAGACAACAACAATAGAAAACAATCATGATCATAAGATTCTTGAATGTACTAGGGACAAATCTCATTTTTCATCAATCTCACTGAAATTATAATTTAATCTATCGAATAAGTATCTGGGTCGGCACTGAGAAAATTTTGAGAAAACTTCTCTGTAAATATCTTAGTCGGTATAATTCAATAATTCACAAATAGAGAAGATCACGGATAGCTGTTAAGGAGTTATGGCCATTCAAAAATCGGATTACGGCTTTATCTCTTCACAGATTGGGTCATTGATTGAAGATTATCCTCTCGTTTAGTTATGTCTTTTGAGTCCGTTTCTGCAAATTTTAGTTTAAACAATTTCTTCTTCTTCTTCTTTTTTTTTTTTTTTTTTGAAAAAATGTATAAGTTCAAAATTTCAAATGAATAAAAGGACCAAAGGAAGACCCAAAGCATACCACTCGTACTTTCTAGTTTCCAACGCCTTTGTCCCCACATCCCCACTAGAGAAAGGGTAACGTCGACGTTTCAAAAACCAAACCAAACCCAAACCCAAACCCAACCCATATTTCACATCTCTCTCTCTCTCTCTCTCTCTCTCTCTACAGCTATACGCAGCTCCCAAACGAACCAATCTGAAAGAGAGGTCACAGCAGCTGCTGCTGCTGCTGCTGTATTTCAAACTGTAATTTCATACCTTTCAAACCACTCCTTTCTTCCTCTGTGATTTGACAGTAGACGAAGAAGAAGAAGAAGAACAATTTTGAAAATTTCAGCCATGGAGAGGAGCACTCCGGTCAGGAAATCGCACACTTCAACCGCAGATCTGCTCACCTGGTCCGAGAATCCGCCGGAATCTTCTCCCGCTTCCACCCCCGCTCCTCGCTCCCACCAGGTCTTCCCCTCCCTCGCCCCATTTCCCCATCAATTTTCCTCTGTTCTTTTCTTTTGAGGGGATTTCTGATTGTTCCCCTTCATGATATTTTACAATCTTAGAATGTAAAGTTGAAGTTTGGCTCTTGTTTTTTTGTTTTGAAACTATTATTGTCGTCAAATGAAGTTCCAGCCGTCTGATGGGATCCAGAAGGTGGTGTTTGGAGGTCAAGTGACGGATGATGAAGTCGAGAGCTTGAATAAAAGGTCAATTATCCATTTTATACTGAATCTCATTTTCATCTTCAAATGATAATAATAATAATAATGTATTATGGTAAGGAACCAGACCTGAGATTTTAATTACTAATAACATCGTAACGGATCTCTTCTCAGGAAACCGTGTTCAGGTTATAAGTTAAAGGAGATGACAGGGAGTGGAATTTTTGCATCATCCGGAGAAGATGACTTGCTGGAGTCTGAAAACCCAAACACTACCACTCCCAGCAACAAAACTGGACTCCGAATGTATCAGGTGCTCTGATCTGATGATGAACTATTACACTTGTTTGGCCTCTTTGTTAATTTAGATATACCCATAGTTGTCTTTGTTTATTGTTGCATTGGTATAGTAGGAACAGATCTTACAATACTTTTATAATACACCCCTACCTAATCACAACTGAAACGTATGGATATGTCCCACAGCAGGTTGTTTCTGGGGTGAGTCAGATTTCCTTTGGGGAGGAAGAAGCTGTCTCTACAAAGAAACCAACCACACTGCCTGAAGTGGCGAAGCAACGGGAGCTTAGCGGAACCCTTGGGATTGAATCAGATTCGAAGTTGAACAAGCAAATTTCTGAAGCAAAGAACAAAGAGCTCAGCGGGCATGACATCTTTGCTCCACCACCCGAGATTAAGCCTCGGCCATTGGCTGCTCGGGCATTAGCGTTAAGAGAGAGCATTTCAATTGGAGAACCGGCTCATAATCATGTATGAATCTTACTCCGTACTTATTTCTTTATGCTGTAAAATAAGAGCAGATCCATAGTGCCTTAATGGTTCACCTGAAAAGAAAATGTGGAGTAAATTTGGAAAGAAAGACACTTTGTTGAAATTTAGTTTATTTACTTATTTGTATGATGTAAACACTAAAAAATCTAAAAATATTGCATATACCTTTTAAAGAATTTAACTTTTTATTTTAACATTCCATAAACATTCAGTCTTTACTTTGCATTTGTGTTCATTCAATCATTCGCTCAGTGATCCAAATATGCACCCAATCTTCTGAAACCCAGATATTTTCTTGATTCCAAATAAGTGTGATGTTAATATAAATGCTTGATTTGGAGTGTATTTTTGCTTCATTTGAAATTGTGGTGGAATATGCGAGGGAAATTCTATTTTCTAAAGAATGAAAGATCTAAACTTTGAACGCTAATAACTCTTTTATAAGGTAGTATCTGTTTATACATTCTCAACCTATTAAAGCACATATAGTTACTGCCCCCATTGGAGTAACCTCCCATTTGGGAGTGTCACCTTATTCTCTATTCATGGATGCATTACTTTTTTCTTCCATTCTTGTATTGAGCTGGCATTAATATCTTGCAGAATGTGGAAGCAAGCGAAGAAGCAGTTTGCAAGACAGCGAAAAAAATTCCCAACCAGAAGCTCGCAGAGCTTTCAGGAAATGGCATCTTCAAGGGAGATACTCCCCCAACATCTGCAGATAAGCATCTGAGCTCGGCAAAGCTGAGAGAGATGAGTGGCAGTAACATCTTTGCCGACGGAAAAGTAGAATCTCGGGACTACTATGGTGGGGTCCGCAAGCCCCCGGGTGGTTCGAGCAGCATTGCACTCGTGTGACTTGTTAATTATTTGTAGGTCGATCTCTAACTCAAAACCAAACCGGTTCGTTCATATAAATTACAACTGCTTGGTTATTCGTGTGGTCATTTTTCTTGTTTTTTCTTAAAATTTGATGTGTCCATGTGGTTGGGTTTTCTGGAGTTGTGTGTTAGAGTTTTATTAACAAGTCAACCAAAGGTTGGAGAACTGGGAACCGCTTAAGCTAATTGGGTTGTCTTGTTCATAAAATCTGTGCTTTTGTGTGTTCATTTGTATGAAAATGGATTCATTTTATAAAATTTTACTTTTTTTAATATAGTACAAGTATATTTCTTCTTATTTCATTGTATTTGGCTTTCTAAGTTTAACTTTAATCTCCTTTTATAAAAAAAGTTTAACATTAAGCTTCTCCTAAAATTAGTGTTGCACAAGCATAACATTTAGGAGTGGCTAACATGGGTGCTGTGAAATTAGTCCCTGTTTCAACTCTTGAACATTTTTTTGTTAGACATCCTCTTAAACTCTAAAAACATTTCTTCTTGATAGATTAAGCTTATCCTCCATTACAATTGATTCGTGATTGAGAAAAAATCACATAATTTTAGACAAATACAGTGTAAGAGAAGCATTGAAAAGTAATGTTTGAAATTTGTTAAGAAAACATAAAAATATTATGGATCGCATAGTTACTTTATTAGGTATGGTTGGTGAAATAAATACTTGGTTTTTTTTAATATATTGTAATTTGAAATGGATGTTATACCAACTTTTTATTCGTTTTGGCAAATCCAACAACTTCAGTCCAACATACCAGTAGTATTTACCCAATGAGTCATGTTTTTTTTTGTATTTTTTTTTATTTTTACATTCTAAATATTCAATCGAGTATTGAAATAATCAGTTTTTTTTCTTGTGAGTATGAAGCCGTTAAAATGAAGTGTTTAAGAAGGAAAATAAAAACTCGTAAAAAAATTTGTAGAGCATGGCAATACAAACAAGCATGCCATAATGCTTGATTACATAGTCACAAAACCAAGTCCTCAACCCGCAAAGGTTATTTAACAGAAAAACAATGAAAGCACACACGATCCATGGAGAGATCACTTTATTATTATGGAAATCATTTTATTATTATTATTATTATTATTATTATTATTATTATTATTTAGATGAGGTTTGTGATGTTGTTCAATTGTCAGCATGACCAAGCAAGGCCAAGAGCATATCTTCATAGTCGCCGCGGGTGTCTTTGGCAATGGCGCGGTCTAAAGGGACGCTATTCACCTTCTTGAACTCCTCCATGATAACCTTGAGATCAACTTCGGCTCTTGTCGCAATCACTCTGGTCAGGTCACCTTCATCCGTGCCTCTCTTGTTGATTGCACCCCTAAGCACCTCCACAAAGTACCTCTCTGGGTAGAGGAGCGCTTGAATTGCCGCTCTCAGTATGGAAGTGAATTCATCCTTCCCATCGCCTTCCAAGTCCTGCGGATGATGAAAAATCAAATTGATCTTTGAATGTGGAACCAGACATGAAGACATAGATTTGTATTGAAACATGAGAGTACAACAAAAGACAACATCAAACACAGGCACACAGACAAAGTAAACACGGTAGCACGAACAAACTACAAGAGCACAAAGACATGAGGTATATATATGAGAGAAAACCTTGAGAATGTCTTGTCCATATTCGTCTCTATAGTGATTCAAGGTTGCATTGATCTGGCATTTGCTCCTTGTTGTCAGAATTCTGATGACATCGTCATCAGCGTAGCACTTATCCGAGATCTTCTCGTGCAGCAGTTTGGCCTCATGTTTAGCTAGTGTCATATTTACCTCATCGCCCCCGTAGCGATATGTGCTCACCAGAAGCACCAAAAGCTGGGAGATTCGAACACATGTGGAAAATGTTCAGAATATGACAAATTATTGCTACTAGCCTCACTGCTTAGTTCATGTTATTAAAGCCATTTTTTTTTAACTAAGGAATACCCCGCGGAAGTCCCCAGTTGTGTGCTGGGCAACATCTTCTTCAAGGGATTTCTTGAAACGAGCGTGATAAGCTTGTCAGACAGAAATCAACTCCTTGGGTGATCTTGTACAGGCAATCTCCACCAGCACTTGATTGCTTGCTGTCCATTTCTTGGTTGCTTCGTTGGCCAAAAGCGCGTCACGCTCATGAGGGTCCAGTGTCCACAGCACTACTAGTTTCTGAAACCATATACGGAGTATGATTTTTGAACCAGGGAATCCAGTCCAGACTCCAGAAAGAAGAGATACAATGCAAGTATATTTCAAATTGTATTTGACAAACCTCAAAATCATGAGTGAGTTCCCTGTTTAACTCTTTGAGGATGTCTTCCCCATAGGTTTCTGCGTATGCCTGCCGGATCAAATTGCGCTGAGCAGCGTTTCTATGACCCAATATTGATATGATCAACTTCTCATTAGTCCCCCATCCTGATACCAACACAATGAAATTCATCCAGAACCACAAGTAAAACCAGTAGTTAATAATAACACTCCGTAGTGAGAATAATACTTGGTTCGAATAATGTTAACGGATTGAATTCAATCGATTAGCTAATTCGACAAAATCAAATGAACCCACGATCAAACATCCAGAACATGAGTGAAGAAACAAACAAAGATTTGCAAGGTCAAATGATTAACTGTAATAGTGTATTAACCAAACGGACATGGTCGATCGATCCAATTAGGTGGCTCATGAATGTGAGGGAAATGGGGATATGTCTAGATCCGCCGATGAAGAAGAACTTCGCAGATCAAGCTTGCAACACAACACAACAGCTTACAGAATGAAAAATGGTGGATCGATTGATCGAAATCGAAAAACAAAGGCGATAGACAAACGATCCATCGAATCAGTAAAGTCAAACAAACAAGAAGTACGATGATGAAGAAGAAATTAAACTGGAAATCAAATCTACCACAATGCATAAACGCATGCCCTTTCTAGAATCAGAGAGATGGGGAGAGATAAGAAATGAGGAAAAGAGATGACCTTTGAAGGCAGCTCGGAGTTGCTCGCAGTCTTCGGAAACGGGAGGAACAGTGAGTGTGGACATCGCTGCAGATTGATTTTGCCGCGCCACGAAAACGAGAGAGTGGAGGAAGATGTGTGGGAACTCATATATGTCACCTCTTCTCCTTTTATCATGCTGAGATACTCGAATTGTGTTTGATTTTGACTTTTTACTAGATAATAAAATGTTTTTTTGAAACTATTTACTCCGTATAAAATAAATCTAATAGATTTATTTTTGTATCTATATCTAATATAAATTTTACAATATATTATATGCTTAATTACTACTCAGTGTAAATTATGGCTTCAAAAAAATACTTCCTCCATCTGGTATAGATTTTTCTCAAATGATTTTTTGTTTATTCTGAAAAGATCATTTCATTATTTTTTAACATTTAAAATATCAACTATTAACACTTACTTTATTTATTACCGAGTACATCTCACCACCTCATTAAATGCAATCATCTCACTTAATTTTTGTCTTTTTTCAATTCTTCTTAAAAAACACAAAAAATCAATTTCAGAAGATCTATGACGTACAATGAAGTAGTTAAGCATTAATTCATATAGAGAGTATAATTTCCTTAAAATAAAACGAAAATAAAAATCTCATTTTATAACTCTCTACCCATGAATTATCTTTATATTTATAATTCACATAATCAAATTTTATTCACTTTCTTCCACTATAATTTATATTTATTTGATTTAATAATATAGTCATGTCATCTCTAATTTTGTAAAATTTTTGATATACTCCGTATTTTTTAATTTTTATAAATATATATATTTTTAATTCCACACTAATTTTCATTCAAAATGAAATAAAAATAATTTTAATCAAATATTATAATACATAGCGGGAAGAAAACTTATCGAAAAAGAGAGTTTCTTCATTTTCTTTAAATCTAAAGAATATACACTTTTACTTTATTTTCTTCCTTTATCCAAGCAAAGCATTTTAGTGTCCACAACCATGATAGCACGTGACTAGGGATAACAATTCACCTGAACTCGAATTTAACTCATGGAATATTAAAATAATAAAATATCTGAACCCGAATCGAAAATTTAAAAATTCAAACCCTACCTAAAAAATAAAACTTGAACCCGACACTAGTTGGGTCAAGTTCGAGTTTAGGATTTTAACCGATCCGGACCCGTCCCTACTCCAAACCTGGCCCGTTGTGATCTTGGGACACAAAATGCCTGAAATGCAAATATGACATTCAATTTTTTAAGATAATTTGCCATTCAATTAAAAACCGGGAAAACATTCTCTAAAAATGTGAGCTAGTAAATCTCATACTCTGTATTACACTATGGTGGCCTTTGTTAATGTGAGATTAACTTTTTATTTGCATTTAAGAAATCTGTCGTTAAAAAAAAAAAAAGAAACAAAAAGTCTTGAAAAATATTTCTTCCTCACATCCATCCACAACCACCGTATTGTGACTTTCACTTGTATCATAATGGTCCACGCGGTTTTCTTTTATTTTTGAAGTCGGTCCGGTCTCTCTTTATTTTGCTTTCCACAAAGATTGATTGATGCCTTGGTGGATGACATTACGGCAATTAGAAATGAACTTTTCATAAATAGTCTATGTGTTTTAAAATCCTTGTACTTTTTAAAATTGTAAAACACTTTATCTGAGGCAAATTCATCTCCGAATCTAAGATCTATACTCATTTTATTGATCTTGGTGTATTTCTAGCATAAAATAAGTGATACTTGACAAAAAAGAAAATTAAATATCTAAATGCATTCCCATGAAAAATGTGAGAATGTCCACATTTTAAAGATTAGAATATAAGCATCATTAATTATGTGGATCTTTGGGACAATATAATTATAACTCTTTATGTGATCTAAGAATTGACGCATATTAGTCACTCTTTTAAAGCAAAGGTGAAGCATGCAGAATACATCCTTCTATGTAAAAATATGAATCCTATAAACAAAAGTTAATTTGATAAAATTGCACTCGTCTTCATAGATAAAATTGCCTCATCTTCATAGACAATACAAAAAATTTATCTTTTTATTTATTACATAATTCACAGCATCTTTGCATCATACGCGCATCGACGTGTGTTGCACTGTTGTACCATTTCACAAATTTTATAATAGAGGAACTGAATATGGTGCTTTGACCATAATAATTCTTGAAAATTTAAAGGTTATTTATCCACTTATATAAACCACAGAAGCTATTTATACATAAAACTCAAAATACTTTGAGGTCTGCATCCCAATTTAAGGTATTGAATTAGAGCCCCTTAGCAAATGAGAGAGGCTATGGGGTCATATGCCATACATAAAAAAAAGGATGAGCCTTGTCTCTAGCTAAGATCCTCTTAGACTCAGCTAGATGGTCATTGAGAGTAGATAAATTGGGTTTTGATCACATATTGGTGACAAAGAGTGGAGTTGTAGAGGCCCTATGCTTAGTATAATTGCCTCCCAGTGCAGTTGCCATGAATCAAACTCGGGTCTTACTCTATTAGCATTCCTTGCATGCCTTACCAACTGCGCAACGCCTACCAGCGTACATAAAACAATTTCAAGTTTTTCATATTGATGGATATATTAAATATCCTGATCGGTCATGTGTGATATTAATTATTTTGCATGGAGAGTGTGTGATGGCGATTTGGCTCCGGTGAATGTGTTTATTAATGTGAAAGAGAGAAGGGTGATGTCGTCCAGAAAATGGAAAAACATTATGGAGCAATGTGATACTCCGTATTATTTATGGGTCTTGAAACATGCTACGTTATGGAAAAAGGTCATTTTATGGAAAAAATGATATGATATCATAATTATTTTGTACAGGGGTATGTGTGAAGGTGCTTAACTTGGATAGTGTAAAAGACCGTGCAACCTCCTTTATTAAAAGTTGTGATGCCATTATAGCTTTTGAATTGGGGGGAGTATATTGACGGCTTACATGCGGCGTAGTGTAATGATAGCTTGGAGAGCTCAATATACACACCTTTTGAGGCATGAACATAATTACACACAGTTTTTAAATCTTTAGATTCCCGTGCAAATATTTTGAATTGCACTTACCAATTATCTTGCACACTATAAATACATGTTCACATAAAAATACATTATCATATCCAAATTATTTCATTTTTTATTTTATTTTTTCGTTTATCAACTCTGATACACTATAAACAGAATTGTTCTAGCAACACATATTGGTAAAGCAACTTCTTTTGCTTTTTTGTTCCTTTTTTTCTTTGGTGTTTGTTGTTTCTTCATTTTTCAATAATTTCTTTGCTTCTTCTTCAATTTTATTCTTCGGTTTTTTATTTTTAGTTTTAAATTTGTTAAAACTTTATTTTATAAATTTTTTTAATTTTAAAGTTTTTAAATTTTTAATTATTTTTTAAGATGTCTTTTGACATAACAGGATGATTTTCTTGAAATTTATACTAATTTAATTATATTTTATTCAAATTCAAATAATTAGATGTCATGTTAACTTTATATTTAGTTCTATTTGAATTGAATTTTACATTAATTCTATCAAATTTATACTCACTCCGTCCGGAGATGTTCTTTCCATTTGACTTTTTACGGTCTCCAAGATTGCACTTTGACCACTATTATCTTTATTTATACATGGATATATTTTATAAAAATTTGATATTTGAAAACTATATTTCAAAATGAATATATTCATATTAAAGTTATATCATAATACAATGTATTTTTTCCACAAATCATAGTCAAAGTTTACAAACTTTGACCAAGAAATGTCAAATGGAAAGAATATTTTCGGACGAAGGAAATATTTTTTTAATATTTTAGATAGGAAAATGCTAGGGGTACACCTATACCAAAGGTGTACCCCATTTGTCCCCCATCCCCTCAATTACCACTTAAATAGACAAGAAATTTAAAAAAAATTAAGTAAATAAAAATAAAAAATAAATGAGTAGTTATGGAGGGGGTGATGTACAAATGGGGTACACCTTTTGGTGTACCCTAGCATCTCCCTTTTAGATAAATGATTGATCGTGCAACGCGTGAGTACAAAATGTAGTTTAATCAATTAGTTTGATGTATTTTAGACTAGAGGGATTACGAAGGTAGGCTCCGTCCCAACTCCCAACACCTTCATCCAAACAAAGAATCAACTACGAGTAATTTTCGTCTATGGATCGCGAAGAAGCAGCTCCAGATGCGATTAAGGTATTTCTACGCACTTTTGTCTTCGTCTCCTTTCCTGCATTTCAATTAATTCGCCATCGATATCGTGCTTTGAATCTTTTTAGTTTGCTGGAACCCGTGTTGTTTGAAACTAATTAACCCTAGGGTTTTACTTTGCACGCTTCAAGTCAATCAGTGTTGCACGACCTACGATTTGGCTTTCTCTTTGATCTGCAGTTTTTTTTAAACATTAACTAACCTCAGGTTGTTCATAATCAAGGACCTTTGTGTCTATCTGATGCCTAATATCGAGGAAATCAGAAATCTCTCGTGGTGGTACTATAATGTTGTTTTTCGCAGGTACTGATATCTGAATTTTCAGTTAGGGCAGTTGGGCAATGACTAATCACGAGGGATATTAAACTCACAATGGGTAGCAATGGAATTGAAAAAAACAAGTGAAGAGAAGATATGGTTAGCCTAAAGACATACTCAGGCCTGCCCTACCTAATTCCCAGCAAACAGAAAGACAACATAAGTGAAAACATGTGGCATTTTGACAAACATTTAACATACAATGCTGGAACTGGAGACACACCACTTATTCTGCTGGCTTGCTTCACGCACAACACACATTTCTTTTTTGTTGTCTTTAACAGTGGCATCCGGTATGAACAGCACTGCAGTCACGCGTAATGCCACTATTATTGCCGCACAAACATTTATTTCCCTTCAGTGTGGCATTCATGAATGCTGGGGTCTTAGGAATCCCACCTTGAAGGTTATTATAGGACAAATCAACTTCCACCAAACTGTCAAGTTTTTGAAAGGAAGACGGGATTCTTCCGCAGAGATAATTATGACTGAGATCAAGTGTTGACAGATGCGATAGCTTACTTAGCTCAGATGGCAAACGGCTGCTGAAGTTGTTGTGGCTCAAGTTCAATGAGAACATACGCTGGAAGCCTCCCATAAACGGCGCTATTGGTCCAGAAAAGCGATTCTTGGACAAGTCAAGAACATTTTAAGACTTGAGAGAGCCCAGTTCTTGAGGAAGTTTGCCAGAAAGATTGTTATCTTGTAAGTGTAGATAGAGTAGAGAAGACAGATATCCGAGTGCTGCAGGGATCTCCCCCCTCAAGTGATTTGATGATAGATTGAGCTTTCCTAGTGTTGGGAAAATCACCTCAATTTTCTAGCGGAAGCAATTAATAATTTTCCCGTCTTTGTGTTGTCAAAATGGGCAAAATCATATGACCGATCAAGAATAGTAAACACCAAGAATAGTAAACACGACAACAAGCAACCAATCAAGCGATAAACGAACACCAAGATTTAACGTGGAAACCCCAAATCGGGGAAAAAACCACGAACTCTTCCACTAATCACCAAGAAAAATCAGTGGGTACACCAAGAATCCTCTCTAAATCAATTAGAGGTATACACAATCATCAAGCAACAACTTGGAACACCAAACAACAATAATCTTCACTCAAAAGTGAGAAAACCCTACAAAAACGCAGCAGAGGAACAGAGGCAGTTTTACCGACATCGAGAGGTCAAAACAACAATCCCACCGTTGGATATGAAGAAGAGGATGTGAGGAACAACATACTAAAATTTCATCCCGATCGGAGCTCGTTTGGTCGTCGATCGGAGCACAAAAGCAGACTGCACCTCTCTTTTTCTCCCTTCTTCCTTCTCTCGGTTTTACTCTATTTTTCCTCTCTGTTTTTCTGCTGTGCGGCTGCCCCTCTTCTGCCCGTGAGTTTTTAGCCTCAAAAAAGGCTACTGCCATTTCAAAAAGTGGCAGCCCACTTTGACTCCTTTTTTTTTCTTATAATAATAATAATAAATATTATTATTATTATATTACTCCACCTCTAAACAAATTACATTTTTAACACTAAATGTATTGTTTAGGAACTCCTTCCTCCATGTAGGAGGGATACCCCAACAAATCTCCCCCTCACTCCTACATGGGGGGTAAAACTCAATGATGATAAAAATTATACAAACCTTTCACAACCAACTGCGCCAAATCCGTAGGTTGTGAGCAACACTCTTTTCTCTTCAACTTGAACACCCGATTGCTCTTGGGTGCTCGCTTGCTTCCATGCAACTTTACCAAGGAATGACCACATCCATCAAGCAAGGATATAACTCCATCTCGCTTGGCTTGAACCCACTCTCGTCGGTGCACCTTCTTCACCTCTTCCCGGTAGCAATCTCTCTCAAATATACCGATTTGAGGAACACTAGGTGGCGGAACTCCATGCTCGAAATGAGGTGGCTCAAGTACATCACCTTCACGATCAACATCATCACCACAATATTTTTCTCCATCTTCTCCCCCATGATCTGATTGAATGGTAGGAAAAGGAATGTCACCTTCAGGGAGGATACTCTGACAACTCTCAATCATGTGATCAAGCCTCTTGTGCGATAAATCTGTGGAGGGCGCAGTATTCTGATCTCCTCTGCACATCTTTGGGACTGCGCGTGCCCTCACCCCAATCCCGCATTAGTATGATATTGTCCGCTCTGGGCAAGCCCTCACGGATTTGTTTTTGGGAAGGCTTCATACTAATGGGGTTGGGTGAACCTATATATTTTGGTTCATTTACTCCTACTCATCCGGTGTGGGACTTGGAGGAATCCCAACACCTAGTTGAGCCAAACTACCTAACTCTGGCGGTATTATGCCAGTGAGGTTGTTACCATCAACCATCAGGTTAGTCAACTGCTTGGAAAATGCCCACTTCATAGAGAGCTCGCCGTGAAATTGGTTGTTGCTAAGGGACATAAATTGCAAGTTTGGGTAGATGCCAAAAGATTCAGAGATATTTCCGGTGAACTGGTTGTTCTCTAAACGCACCCTTTTCAGACTCTTGCAGTTCGTTAAGCTTCTTGGAATAGGCCCCGAGAGCTTGTTGTCATTCAGAGTAAGATTTTCAAGTGCCCCGCTTTGGCAGAGAGTGTCAGGTAAATTTCCTGAGAATTGGTTTTTATGCATTTGAAGGACTGCTAGTTTTTTCAGCCCACCAAGTTCATGTGGAATGAGACCGGAAAGATTGTTCTCACCAAGATACAAACCTTCCAAGTTCCTCAAACAGCCCAAGGAAGGAGGAATTTGACCCGTGAGCCAATTCTCACTCACTTCAAGATCCAAGATGTTCTCCAAATTTCCCAACTCTTTTGGTATTGAGCCGTTAAGGTTGTTATCATATAGGTGAAGCAGCGAGAGGTTGTGTAGGCCACCGAGAGACTGTGGGATAGGGCCAGTAAGACGATTTGAGTAGAAGCTGAGTTGCACAAGTGATTTCAGCTTTCCCAGTTCAGGGGGAATCTGGCCACTCAATTCATTTCTGAAAAGATATAGCACCTCGAGTTTTGAGAGGTTTCCAAGCTCAGGTGGGATGGGACCTGTAAGCTTGTTGGTGTCCATGTAGATGAGAGAAAGACTGGAAAGTTTCCCGAGCTGCGGGGGAATGTGGCCAGAAAGAGAATTCTCATAAAGGTATAGAGAATTCAAGTTTATCAAGTTCCCAATGGAAGCAGGTATGGAACCTTCAAGCTTATTACTATACAAAGCAAGCTCGGTAAGAGACGACAGTTCACCAATTTCACCTGGAATCTGACCGCTTAATGAGTTATCAACAATATGAAGGGTCTGGAGATTCTTTAAAAGGCCAATTTCCGGTGGGATTTTTCCGGTGAAAGAGTTGATTGACATGTCAAGATAGATGAGTTTGGAAAGGTTGCCAATCTGGGGTGGAATCGTTCCCGAGAAACGGTTGATACTGATTTCAAAATATTCAAGATTTGGGAGAGAATCGAATGGAAAGCTGTTTAAGGTTCCCTTTATTCCCGAGCTGGTCAGGTTCAGCCTGTTGACACTTCCATTAACGCACTGAACACCATACCAGCTGCTGCATGCAGTATGTGATGGTGAAAGATTCCATGAGGATAGCCGGGGATTGTTTTGATTGTCAAAAGTGGCCTTCCATTGCAGCAGGCTTTTGGCTTCTTCTAATGAAGAAGAAGAAGAAGAAGAAGAAGAAGAAACAATTGTAGAGAGCAGTAGAAGAAAGGCCAGACAAGAAACGATAGAAAGAGAGGCCTTGCTGATGCAATTAAAGTGTCCATTTTTTTTTCTTCTCTTGAAATCGTCTTCCAGGTTAGTTATTTATAGCAATCACCAATTGTTGGCTTTTGTTTTTATAAAGTCTACGGAGTGATGAACTCTTAGATGATCATAAGTCTTCACTGTCCAATTTTTCACTCTTAGCTGCTTCGTAAACTGTAAGGTGTTGGTCCAATTACTTTTTGCCTTCTAGATATTCTTGTGTTTTATGTTTGATTTTATAGTGTTTTAAAAGATGTTAGAAAAAACATATATAATTTGTCTAAGAAAGAGAAGCAATGTGAACCACGCTTATTTTTTTAATGTGAAAGAAAAGAAGGAATGGTCCAATTTTGCTTGAAAAATTCAAAAGAAAAAACACAAATAGTGTGATGATATGACACGTAGATTAGTGTGATTTTTTAAAAAAATGAGTACTGTGAGAAATAGCTAACCATTTTTGCAAGAAAGACATAATTTTAATGTAATGACATTCTTGATCTTTTGCAATAAAAAAATAATGAAGACTTTTTTTTTGGAGGGAAAAGTAATGAAGACTTGAAGCAAGTAATTAAATTGCGTACTGCAACCGCAAACCAAAAAAAAAAACTAGAATGGCAATTTTTCTAGTCTTTTAGACTTTAGAGCGAGTAGACAAGAAATTTCAAAGAAACTTTGCACGAGTCAATCCAATATTCCATCCTGCAAAATAAATTTTAAAAAGAATAGTATGTTGAAAGAGAATAAATGAACCTAAAACAAATTAAGCTTTCACTTTATGAAGTGTAACTTTTTTTAAAAAAAATTGAGAAGTTAACAAAAAAGTGAAATTAGTTTAGAATAGAAAAGTATATTGCGAGACACAAATTCCTTTCATAAACAAATTACTCCATATAATTGTAAAATTTATATTGAAATGTATGGAAAATATATAAAAATAAAATATAACTTTTTTAGCCGGGGAGACATAAAGATAAGAAATTTTTACACTAAATAGCACCAAAATTTAAGTCATTTCCCTAAATAGCACTTAATCTGTTTTATTCCCTAAATAGCAGTTAATAATGTCCATAATGACCAATGATGGTGAATATATGGAGCAATATTATAAATAATTTAAATACTAGGAATTTTTATAAAAAAGGTGAGCTAACAATACCATACAATTACAAACTTGTTTAGAAAGAAAAAACTTACACACTAAAATAGAGTAATATGATAAAAGTAACGGTGGGGTTCTAGATTTACCCAACCCGAACCCAGAATCCTTAGGCGGGAAGAGACATTATTCATTTTCCCCCTCTCGCTTTGTATATTAAAAGATGTTGCTCCACATTTGCTAACTCGTAGCCTACCTTCACCTCAATAGATGGTTGAGTTGTTCTTTCGTGATTCTAAAATCCACATGTAAAATGTAGACCTCAAATTTTTAATGAGTTGGTAACTGAACCTTTCATTTTTTTATTTTCGCCAAAATTTCAATTCTTTTACGATATAAATGCATTAAAGTCTATAAAATGAACATGGATCTAGGACCACGGAAGAACTTGCCAACATTAGTCACGTCGCATCACTTACATGCATGCAACCTTTGATCATTATGCATTCAGATGTTAAAAAAAGTAAAAATTATCCAAAATAAACTCACATTTCACTGTAATTCATAATTATATTATCTCAACTTTACTAAATTTTGCGAGTTTTGGACCGCCGTTAAGTTATTAACGCCGGGTTAGCAAAACGGCTTGTTTTGCGCAACAAAATGAAAGTTGAGATTATATTTGGTAAACTTTTGTTTTTATTTTTTATTTTTTTTTGAAATTTGATTTAAATTTTAAAATAACTTTCTACATCAATTTCTTTTTCAATTTTTAAATATTACTCTTATCTTATAAAATATAAAAGAATAAATGTAAAAATATTAAAAATGAGAAAAAAACCAAAACCATACAAAATTGATGGAATAAATAAGGTAATCAATAAAATTGAAAAGAAAAAAAATAAAATATGATGAGTGGAGTGCTTTAACATTTTTCATACTATACAGAGTATTAAAAATAAGAAGGGTTTTTAGGACCGGAGGAAGAATATTTTTTCATCAACTTTGTATGATTTTAGTTGTTTTTCTCATTTTCGTTATTTTTATATCTATTTTTTTATCCAAAGTTAGACTAATCTTTAAAAAATAGAAATGGTGGAGTTAGAAAGTAATTTCAAAATTTTAAATTAAAATTTCCAAAAAAAATTAAAAAACGAAAATTCATCAAAAATAATCACAACTTTCATTTTGTTGCGCAAAACAGACTGTTTCTGTTGACTCGTCGTTAGTAAGTAGTAACTTAAAGGCGGCCAAAAATTTGCAAATTTCAGTAAAGTTGAGATTATTATACATCACAGGAAAATGTGAAATTATTTTTAAGAGACCGAATAAGTTGAGATTATTCTAGATAATTTTTCCTTAAAAATTTACTATTAAAATTGAGGGTAAAAAAGGGGCACTATACAATCCGGGATTATTATTCTTATACACCACGTCACAATGTAACTTGAAGCTATTGATGTTAAAAACTTAAAATTAGTTTTACATTGTAGGTGGGATTATTTTGTGTCTATATATTGGAAAAAAAATGGTGTGGAATGGGCCGTCGTGGCCTTTAAAAAAAATGTTGCTCCACATTTGCTAACTCGTGATTTAATTCCACCTGTCCTTGAATGTATAAATTCATTTCCACATTTCAAAAGAAAGTGCCTTTTTTTTGGGTTTATATTCTATTCGTTTCAAATTAAGTTGTTTGTTTACTATTCATAAAATTATATTTTAATCACTTTTTTACTCATTTTTATTATTCATTTGATAAAATAATATCATGACATCATCATTATCTTTTTTATAAAAATGTATATATTGGTTTTTTAAATTGTGTATCAATATTTAAATAAAATGAATTTGGAAATAATGTGATTGTGGTAGAGGGACAATAAATAAATGGGGAGGGAGTGGGTGTTGAGCTATAAAAGTGGTCGTAGTACTTATTTCGAAAGACCCAATTGTGAAAGGGGCGGAGTTATGATATGATCCATCCATCATCCATTTAAGAGATCGTATAACATCTAGATAGATATATAGATAGGCATTCATGGCATTCTCTTCAAGTGTTCAACTATCCATATGTTGCAATTTATGATCCTTAACTAATGTCTGTCACACGCAAAATCTTTTTGTATGCCTAGAGGCCGGATGTGTAAAATTTTACGAAATTTATTTTTTGATGTATTTGTATGATTCGAAAATTAAAAATGAAAAATGGCGAAGATATGAATTAGACCCTTTGTCACATGTTTTTTTCTATTTTGAGTTTGGCAATTAACTGTTTAAAATTTTAACCATAAATTATAGAAAAATATATTGAATTATGATATATAATGGATATATTGAATTGGGCCGAGATGTAATTATTAATGTAATTAACCTAATATATTTATCCATTTATTTGACCCGGCACTAGAGTCCAGAGCCGGGGACGACCCACGAGCGGATTGATGGGGTTATACCCGTATGAGCCGTGAGGTACCCTACACTTGGAGGCTGGCACGATATAACTAGGGTTAGTTCCGTATAACTAGCTTTGAGAATAAATAAAAATTTGTGGTGCGGGGAAAGCTGATTTGTAAGTTAGGTATAGCTTGGTGTATTCTCAACATTACTTGCACAATATTTTGATTTTACAAAACGATATGGATTTTTTGGTAATGAGTTTCAATTTTATATTATTACGTTGGTTCAACTTAAGCATCTATAGTGCCCCGACTGAGAAATTGATGATTTTTATCCTACTAATTCCGATAAATCCCCCATGTTCCGCACGAACCTAACACACACTCATACCTCCGCCAATTGAACCTCCCAAATTTTTTTGATTTTAGGGTCAAAATTTTTACCGTAAAGTCAACAAATTTGGTGCAAATTACGTACGGAGGTATAGGGTGCGTTAGGATCGAGACGGAATTGTGATTTATTACTATGGGATTTAGGAAATGTTTGAAACTATCAATTTTGTATTCGAACACCATAGATACCCGATGTCATAATATATTATTAAAATCTAATGTCAAAAGAATCATAGTGTTTACAAAAAAAAACAAAATAAACATCATTCTAAGGCACACTATGAACATTTTTACATAACATTTAATTTCTATGGTATATCTAGGGTGCACTATGAACATTTTTACATAACATTTCTATGGTATATATATCTAAGGTGGACTGTGAATATTTTTACATAAGAGTTGTTTCAATGACCTTAAGATCTAAATTTTTAATAAAATAGATTTGAATGCTTGTTTGAAAATGAATATTTAAGCTGCACTGTGAATTTATTTTCCTAATTTGGATGCTTGTTTGAAAATGAATTTATTCATTTTCTTTATTAAAAATAGCTTTTTAAAAAAATTATGGCCGTTGCCTCTGAACAAACTTACAAACCCCCACTTGTTACTATGACCTTGCCCAGTCACGTTTTTTTTTCCTAGATCCCCCAATCGGATTAATAATATAATTCGAACGTACATATAATCAAAGCTCAGAGAGAGAGACATAAGTGCGTGCATGGGAGTAGCTAGGTTTAATTTGATAGAACAGTGGAAAATATATATATATGACGAAGAAAAGAAAAAAAAATAAAGATTATATTGAAGAAGAAGAAGAAGAAGAGTCGGTTAGGGAGGCAATTCAAAAGCATTAAATATTATATTAAGAGCATTGCTTTAAATAAAACAATAAAGAGGTGTTGGTTGCATTTGGTTGGAAATGAGAAGTTATTGCCACTTGTGATTTCACTTGAAGAGCACGCCATTATTAATTAATATTCAACCATCAATTTATATGACTAGCTCTATCCCCTTCTCTATCTATCTCCATATTTCTTTTAACACTAATTATTCTATTAAAACGTAATATCTGTTCATATGTTCATATATTTTTAATGACATATGATATTGATGCGCTATGAATGCTCTTTATGGTGATATTCCAAAATTTATTGAAAGAAAAATTAACAATACCATACTAATAGACAAATTTCAAGTTTTAGTCTATGTATGTAAACACTATTTTACAACGCAGAAAAAAGTAAAATAATTTAAGTAGAGGCAGTTCGGCAGACAATAGTTCATGGCGTTCCTTTTTGAAGCACTACAGTGTTTCATTCATAAAATTTACTCCGTATAATTTATATCCCATAATCTTCAACTCTGAACCTCTAAGGGCAGTGGCAATGGTACTAATGCCCCACGACGTCATTCCTCTTTTAATGCCCTAGAGGCGTGAAACACCGTCCCCCCGGGACTTCATTCGGGCGTTATTAGCACTGCGTCAAACGTATAACGAGCATTTTGCACTGAATTTCCTCCTTCAAACGGCTACAAGCCGTTTCAAATTAGCATGCCGCTGGGTCCAGATTTAATTAAATGTTCTTTTTTTATTGAAGGTAATTATTTTCATTTAATGAATTATTGTCGTTTAAATTTAATTAATTAATGAAGTTTTATTAATTTAATTTTATAAAATATGTAATAAAAAATTAAGAAAATTAAGGTTTGAAGCCCCATTATGAAGCCCCGGGGCTTCATACCCATTTCTAATGAAACTGTAAGGTAAGCTAAAGCTGACGTGGCAGAGAGAGAAAGTTTGAAGCCCTGGTTTGAAGCTCCGGGGCTTCAAAGGTATTTCCAGTGCTCTAACCCCGGTCTCGCTTATTCCTCATCGAAAAGTGTGATCAGACAATTGTTTAATGGCCACACATTTGGAAGGAGGTCATGACTCAGGTGGCGGGCTTGGTAGTCATTATTGGAGCAGGGGATTCAAAAGGTTAAAAGGTAGGAACTATCAAATTTGTAAACGGGTAGGTGCTCCAAAAACACTCCCTCCGTCCCTAAAAGTCTTTCCTGTTTCATTTTTTGCGCATTCCGTAAAACACTTCTATCACGCCTTGAATGCCAAAAAAAACTTTTAAAATAACTTCTACCCACAATAAAGAAGAAATGTTAGAAATTTTAGGCATTTTAGATGTCGATAGAAATGTTTTATAGGATGCGCAAAAAATGAAACAGGAAAGACTTTTTGGGACGGATGGAGTAATTGCTCTCTAAGCGGGTGGCTATGGAACCACTTCAATTTAAGTAAGGAGAGGGACGTAGGTGGGGATGGGAGTACGTACGTATAGAGGTAGGGTATATTTAAAGCCATTGCCCTTCTAAATTCTAATCCAAATTGCAGTCTTCAATTCCATACATCTACCCGCCAACCTTCCACTTTCTCCTAGCCACCTCTTCATCATCATCATATTCATATTCACTTCACTCCCTCCCCTCCCATCCCCCAGTTCATATATATATATATATATATATATATATATATATATATATATATATATATATATATATATATATATGTTCTCATCAAAAGAAACCCTTCATTCATGTTCGAACTATTGTATTCTACCATAAACCATAGCCACAAATCAACCATGGTTTCATTCAACCTATCAGATCATCCTAACAAGAGAAAAAGATTTCACCATGCAGTGGAAGAAGAAGAAGAAGACGACCAAATAACATCCCAAAGAGCCAAAACCATCAATTCTCTCCTTGGGATTGAACTCCCCCTCTTGACTCCCCTCCCTTTGGAGTGGCAAAGATGCCTTGACATTAAGGTATTTATATATTAATTATATACACCCCTTCAATTTCTTTTTTGGTACAAAAATATATTTACCCCATATATATCGGGCTTGTTTAAGAATAGAGTCAGCAATTAGCGTCAGCGTTTGCGTTAGTGTTTTCAAAGTAAATCTGCACCGTTAAAATGTAATCAAAACGCTATTCTCTACGTCCCAAAATTTTAATTTTTGGTATTCTATTTAATTAATTGTAGTCCGGGCAAGTGTACTTCTACAACACAAGAACAAATGAGAAGACGTCGAGGGATCCAAGGCTGCGCCGCCGAGAGCCTCCGGCGAATTTGGACCTCGAACTGAACTTACTCTGCGGGTCGTCCGAACGACACGTCGGCGACAATTTCACGGAGATGACCAAAGTTTCCGGCGGCACCCAAACAAGGGATGGCCAGTTGACCGCGAGTAAGAATTCCGGTGGCGGCGGGAAGAAGAGGAGGGGGGTGTTTCTAAGCCTGGCTCGATCGCCGTCGTGGCTGACGTTCGACGGCGACGGAGACGTGGAGGAAGAGGAGGAGATGGTGACGGCGGTGTGCAAGGAGTGTCACATGTTGGTCATGCTTTGTAAGGCGGCGCCGACGTGTCCTAATTGCAAGTCGGTGAGCCTCCCGGCCCCCGGTTTGGATCATATGTGGTCGCCCAATAAAGCCAGTCCACTCCTGTTGAATTAATTGATTCATTTAATCATAACTCATCTCCCTAGTACTCTCCGCTTAATTATAATTATTAAGGATTAATTATTAACGTGATCAAATATTTGATATAGAGTATATTTATGCCTCTTTTTCAATTTGTCCATTTAAATCACATATACACATTAAAAGACGTAGGTTTATATATTTAATTTGTTTGAACCGGTTTAATTTTATGGGGTAAAATTGAGCCCGTGCAAAACAATGATGTACGGAGTATTAATTTTGAAACGTTATTTTAAAATATTTTATTTTTTTAATATATACTCCCTCCGTCTCATAAAACCTTTACTGTTTCAAAAATGGCACGCCTTTAAAATGAGTAATTTTAGTGTTATTTTTTAACTATGACTAATCTATTCTACACATCTTATCCTACTCTTTTAAGAAGTAAGGGCAAAATTAGAAAATAACACTAAAATTACTCATTTTAAAAGCGCGCCATTTTTGAAATAGGAAAGATTCTATGGGACGAAGGAAGTATTTATGTATAAATGGAGATAGCAATAGATAAAAATGTTATATTGAAGAAATGACACACTATAAAATCCCACAAAAAGACATCCTAAAACGGGCCATTTGGATTTTTCCGATTTTGAACTCTGGTCTCAAGCGGCCCAATCAATCCTGTAACAGGCAACTTTACGTCTTTACCCAAGAATTCGGCATAGCCAACTTCGTCCATGCCTCCAAGGCCCATTTCCGGCCCACCTCCACCTCTTTGCTTAAGTTTATAGTGAGAAAAGATAATAAGAGATTTTTGATATGAAATATTTGCACAAAATAGCACTAAAACACAAGTCATTTCTCTAAATAGCATTTAAATTGTTTTATTCCCTAAATAATGTTTAATAATATCCATAATGTCCAGTGATGACGAATATTTGCTTGAATAATGACTAACGCATAATGACTAAAAGTGCTACATTGGTGCTATTAATTAAGTTAAGATTGAGATTGGTCCTAACCGAACTTCCCTTGCTAAAAGTCCCTACTTTTCAAAGAAAATCAAACTAATTCAGGTGGATTGTAAAAGAATACTCTTTTTGTTTCATGAAATAATTTTACTTTTCTTTTTAGTAAGGTCATGAGATCCAAAAATAAAAATAAAAACAAAATACTCCGTAATAAAACACTCATCTTTAGCTATGGATCTCGAGGACGTATGAAATATCTTTTGTTTTCTTTCTTGATTTTTTTGCGTTTTGTGTTCCCTCTGAGACGATGAGTCGATGATGATGATGATGATGATGATGATGATGATGATGATGATGATGATGATGATGATAATAGTAGTAGTAGTAGTATTAATAATAATACAGTAGTAATGCCGTTTAAATAATAATAATAATTTCTTTTATTATATTATTTTTAATATTTTTGGTAAATTTCATAAGTAATAGTTAATGTTAGAGCAATGTATGGATTTTTAAAATAAATCAAATATATGTACAAATAATCTATGTATCATTAACAATCTGCTAGAATAATATAAAATCATAATGATAAAATATTTTAAAACTTATCTAACTTTGTGCGGACTTAAAATCAACTATTAATCAGCATTTTTTAAATTTGAATCGGATGAGCATATATGTTTTGTTGAGTGTCCGAAGTCCAATCACAAGATTAACTTTGTGGTTAATTAGTGGATTCACTAATACGGTCAAACTTGATGAAAATATGAATCACAAGTACTTACAATTTATTTTTTCTAACAAGTTTGAATTTAGAAAACAAACTGCCACTGTGCTTCTTTCATTAACCTAAAAAAATAGTTGCAATGCAAAGATATTTAAAAAAAATCGAATAAATGACTACTCGTATTATATAGATATGCTCAAATGATATTGCATTGACGTGTGAAGGGCGAAACATCTATGTGTGAGACGGTTTGATCGACCATTCTCATTTCTAATACTCTGCCAAAATCATCTCAACCACAAACTTCATCTTGTAATATAATTTTGATTTAAGAAAGAATGATTATTTAAGAACTTGATTCCTAATGAAGTAGAGTTAAAAAAGACTACAGAGTACAATGTAAACAATCAATTTGATATGATCGATAAGAAGTCACCCAAAATAGGATTAAATGAGTTCTATGTTTTTATTTAATTTCTTAAATAGAAGTTCACATTATAGTAATTTGATATTGTACATGTGTATTTTATGTATTGTACATAGTCATGATGGGTAATGTTAATTAATTTTTATTCCTATTTCGGAAATAAGACTATGAGACTCTGATTTTCACATATTTTTAATATTTTACTAATACTTTAATTTTTTTATTTGGAGATTTGAAATCCGAACGTTTATAACAAGAGTAAAACACAATGTTAAGTCAGAAATCGTTTGCTCCATCGCATTAAGTATGAAATGACTAATGACTATTAATGTGCCAACAAAGTAGTAATCAATACCATTTTCCAGGCAACATTGATCTGCCATAACAACGTTTTCCACTCAATTTCTCTCCATCCCGTCCTTTCCATCATCCCATAAATGGACGTTACGTATTCAAAAATTGAATTGCATGCATGGACCACTTTATTACTCCCCCTTTGGTAATTTAAGTCTTCCCCACGCGTTTACGTAACTCTCCCCTTATTATTCCATCTCTTCCATCTCCCAAATCTGTGTATATATATAGGATATAAATGCACACCACAAATTACCCAAGTAAATTTAGAAACAACGCTTTTTACTAAGGTGAAAAAAATGGCGAAATTTGCATTTCTTTTTGGCTTTCTTTCCCTGCTTCTCCCTCTACTCACCGCCGCCGTGTCGGCCCCCAACAAGAATGACACCACTCTGATGTTGTGGGGCTGCTCCTCCACCACCAACCGCGCCCTGTGTCTCAGCTACCTCAGATCCGACCCCCGGAGCTTCGCCGCCGGAAGTTACACCGAACTCGGCAAAATCATGGCCGGGTTCGCGATGGCCAAAGCCAAGGACACGCTCTCGTACGTCACAAAGTTGTCGGGCCCCGGCGGAAGGATGAAGGGGAAGGCTGCCGTCTCCGGCCTGGAGACTTGCCGACGCGGTTACGGCCGGATCATATCCGTGCATATTCCTAATGCCCTCCGGACCCTCCCGGTGGCCGGAGAGGAGGAGGCCAGCCGGCGTTTGGGGGACGCCATCGGGGAGGAGGTCGGGTGCCAGGAGGCGGTTGGAAAGAGCAGAGTCAAATCGCTGTTGACCAAGAGGAACAGAGATTTCCATGATGTTACTATTTTGGCCCAAGATTTGTGGTTTTTGGTCTGGAGTTGATTTTTTTCTTTTAATTTAATTATGTCTGTGTGGCGTGGTTGTGGGAGGTATTTTCATAGTTTAACAATTGTACTTATGGTTCCTTTTCAATTAAATATGCCTTTATAGTACGTTGGTTGTTTTTTCAGTGTTTATTATCGTATAATTTTGGTTTATGAGTTCGAACTTGTTGAGTTATTACGAGTTTTCTAGTTCTCATGGTGAGTTGCAGAAAGATTAACCCAAATCACAGTTGGCTTAATTTTCTTCAATTTATTCTCCATTTTAGCAGGTTGTCATGACTTAATTACGCTCTTTGTCTAGTTTTTTATTTTTTACATGAAATTAAAATTAATAAAATTTGATTATTAATTAAAGGTATATGATGCTTGTATTTGATATTACTCCGTAATACAAAAAAGAATGATTGGATCTATTTTATAAAATTGATAATTAGAGATCAAAAGTAGTTGAATGTAATTAAGGGGCAGTTTGTTTCAGCTTCTTAATGGTTCAGATGTCTGAATTGTTCAGCACTTAATGGTTCAGACTATTTGTTTCAGCCTCTTAATGGTTCAGATGTCTGAATGGTTAAGAGATTTGCCTCTGAATGGTTAAGTATTATACATAGTCTGAATGGTTAAGACCTATTATCTGAATTGATCAGACATTTGCCTCTGAATAGTTAAGCAATATACTAGCTCTTAATGGTTCAGACCTCTTACTGGTTCAGCACTTAATGGTTCAGACCTCTTATTGGTTCAGCACTTACCTATTCAGAAGTTGTCAAACCGCCCCTAACTATTTGCCTACTTTTCACTTTTGACTTTTTTTTTTGTTAAAATTGATAAAATTGACATTAAATTAAATAAAAATGATATGAAATTTTGATCAAAAAATAGTTTTATTAAATTTATTCTATCTAATATTTTCAACTGGACAAATACTAAGGACCAAGGAGATAATACTATGTATTCCGTAAAAAGAGTATCCTCTTTGTCATTACCACAAATCAAGCATTTCTAAAATTTCTAAAATTAGAGGTCCTTATTAACAAGAGGCTTTTCTAAATTAGTTTTTATTAAGTATGATCATAATTACGAACGTAGTATTTCATAATTAATACTTCGATATCATATATATCTTCTAGATTGTCCTTTGATATGTCATAAACTCCATTATAAAAATTATATAGAAATGTTATCTCACATCAGAAGTTGATGAAAAGATAATTGGAATATAAACCCTTGAATTAAACTAATAAAATGTTAAATTAAATTCAATCTTTCAATATAGTTCAATTTAAATATACATCTTTTGGCTCAATCTCGTGACTTACCCTTCGTACATATATCATGTTATCGGATCCAATTTAGCTCATCTCATGTATTAAGGTGTGCATTTAGAAGTTTATTCCTAATCGTTCATTAATCTTTAATCTAATTGTATGTACAAAAAATGGTATGTGGGATAAATATTGTAAATCTTCATTTGTATTTTCATATTCAACGATTCGTAGTGCTTTAGGTGTTGATACTTTTGATCTTTCATTTCATGGGAAAAAGTCTATTTGCAAGTGGTTAAAAAGTTATGTCCAAAATGACCATCTTGTCCACTTAAGGGAGTGTTAAAATATCAAATCAAAAATTGAAGAGAAAAGTTATACATTTGCAAGTTTTTGAGTTGAATAAGTAATCAATTCTTCTATATTGTTTTTCAAAAGAAAGTTAATGTAAAATTTGCACTAAATAGGACTAAAACATAATGACTTTCCCAATGTATGACTTAAACTTTTTTATTCCCTAAATAGGACTTAATAATGACCTAGTGGGAGGAATAATGTCCAGTAATGATGCACATTTTCTTGAATAATGAGTACTTGATAATGACCAAAAGTGTTGCATGGGGAAATAAAAACATATGGTCCTATATTGGGAAAGTCATTATGTTTTAGTCCTATTTAGATAAATTTCTCAAAATTAATTTGTTAAATCAGCCCTTGAAAAATAAAAGATTTAGAAAATGGAAAACTAATTTCATGTTGAAGGTTTTGTAGATTGATACACGAAATTCAAATTTTGAATGTTGATGCAAAGAAAAAGAAAACAAAGGATGATTCAAAAGTCGTTACTAATAAATCATCACAACGTTCTACTAATTTGCTCCATCGGAGTTGCATGATCCCATAAAGAGACGTTACGTATTCCACATTACGGAGTCCTGTAGAATTATATGCCTGGACGACTTTAATTCTCCGATAAAAATTTGTATATATAAACACAAAATCACTAGTCACACAAAACATAAAACCTGTAATTACATTAATTACGTAACATATTAACGAAAGGAAAAAAAATGGCGAAGCGTCTTTTAGTTTCAGGCTGTCTTTCACTGCTCCCTCTAATCCTCGGCGTCGTGTCGGCAACCAAAAAAGACACCACTCTCATGATGTGGGGCTGCTCCGCCTCCACCAACACCACCCTGTGTCTCAACTACCTCAGGTCCGACCCCCGTAGCTTCGCCGCCGGGAGTTACACCGATCTCGGCAAAATCATGGCCGGGTTCGCGATGGCCAAAGCCAAGGAGACACTGTCGTACGTCACAAAGTTGTCGTCCTCCGGCGGGAGGATGAAGGACAAAGCTGCCGCCGCCGGCCTGGAGACCTGCCGCCGCGACTACGGCCGGATCATCTCCGTGCATATTCCCAATGCCCTCCGGACCCTCCCGGTGACCGGCGAGGAGGAAGCTAGCCGGCGTTTGGGTGACGCGATCCGGGAAGAGATGGATTGCGAGGAGGCGCTCCGGAAAGGTGGAGTCAAATCTCCGTTGACCAAGAGGAACAAGGATTTCTATGATGTTACAATTTTAGCCCAAGAATTGTGGTTTCTTGTTTGGGGTTAATATTAGGGGTGACTGGGAAAACCGAACAAAATCAATTCAAACTAAATTTCTAAAACTATATCGTTTAATGTACATTTGTGATATACGTCTATGATAGAATAAATGTAGCAAGATATATACAAATATATATGCATGCGAATTAATAATAACAGATTCAAAATTTTCTTAAATCAATTCACAAAACCCTTCTCCTTTCGTTTTTTCTGAATTCCTTTAAACACTTCCACTTTCTATTAAAAAATCACTTTTACCCTTACTTTTCATACCCTACCTATCACATCATACTTTTTCACTAATAACCAAACTACTCTCTCCGTCCCTAAATATTCACAACATTTGTTTTTTCAGCAGCCGCGGGAACTTTTGTTTATTTCGACGTTTTCATTGGTTATTTGATAAAATAAAATATTTTTGACACCTCTTATTTCGAATAACTTTTCATGTAGTTTTTTATATGTAAATTTTATTTTTTATTTCTATACCAATATGTAAATAAAATGAATTGAAAAAACTTGATATTTTGCCTTGGAAATACAAATGTGGCAAATAATTTGGGACGGAGGGAGTATTACATCTTACTTTTACCCATCACATCAGGGACAAAATTGGAAAGTCAACCAAAATTACACTATCCTTATTTTTGCCAAAAGTTAAAAGTGGAAGGATTTAAAGAAACGGAGGAAGTATTTTTTTTCCAGGGAACTCCACAGAAATCATTATGCTCTTGTAATCTCTCTATATATAGGCATATATTTTTCATTATTTAAGTAAACCAATTATTATCAAATTATATGGTATTTTAGTGATTATGTATGGACTTCTCCAATTATATTGTTTGTGGCTTGAACGGTATTCGGTATTTTTCTTATTTAACGATAGTACTTATTTTTGTATCAATTATAGATAACATTTTTTAGATTTGTTTTTTTAAATAACAGTAAAACATACTCCATAGTAGATTTCTCTATATATAGATATAACACAACAAATTTTAATTTTCATAAATAGTATCTAATTAATTACTCCATAAGTAATAATTAAGTATTGATTCTAGTATACTAAAAATGTTCTTTATATAATTTTATACTTACTGCACCATTACGTCGTATTGTTCTTCGCCCGACGTCAATCACGAAATACCGACATCAGTGTCCCGCTGTCACTCTTTTAATGTCTACTATGCGTGATTTAATGACTTCTGCTGTTTCACTCTTTTAATATCTAATATCTTTGTTAATGTCTACATATCCATTGTCAAGGCATTATCGATTAAAAAATATATTATCGTAATTACAAATGTCGACTGCATTAGCCATCAATGTCCTAGATCAGTAAACAATGTCTAAAACAAATATTTAATATATATCCATTATTTTTTACGATGTCCCGAATCAATGAAAAATGTCAATAATTTTGCAATATCTATCAAAAATACGAATTAAAGAAAAAGAGAATCGATCACAGGGAGAAAAAATATATAGTCTAGATTTTATACGGAGTACAACATAAATTAGATACAAGGGTGTTCTAGTAAATGTATATTAATAATAATTAATTAATTAATTAATTAATTAAATGTTAGTTTTGGAGAAGAAAAAAACTTGTTCAATGTCATTTCGAGAACAGTGTTAAGTTTTGGTGTTACTTTGATCAAATTTCATAAGATTCTATAATTTTGTTCTTTTTTTTTTTGGATCAACAATTTCGTTCTTCTGGTTAAGCCTTTGTGTCTTTTGTTATGAGTGATGGTAATTTACTCTATTCAATAACGATTCATGGTTACTGGGGATATCCGACCCATGGTAACTGGTAAGTTGGTTTCCGTGAATAACTAAAGCCATCCCCTATTAAATCACACTTTTTTTCTATTAATTTATCTATCTCATCCTACTTTATCCATCACATCAAAAGACATTTTTGTTAAGTCTACACCGAATTGAAATTCACTCTCTTTAATTCCTCAAAAAGTCAAAACAGAAATTTTTTTAAGGGAGAGAATACCATTTTAGCTTTAGCACTTTGATAGTTAACAATATTAAAATCTGATGGTGTAAATCATTCATAGGAATCGCGGCATTATACAAAGGGAATAAGACCAAAGTAGGACTAAAACATTAAAAATATACCAAAATAGGACTTTCATTTTTTATTCCCGAAATAGGACTTACATTACCATACATGGTCATATACATTACCAAAAACGTATAATAATTTGCACATGTACACTGTCACATTACCACAGGGCAAAGTCACATTACCACAGTGCAAAGTCATATTTCGGGAAAAAAAAAACATGAAAGTCCTATTTTGGTACTTTTATCTATGTTTTAGTCCTATTTAGGGTGATTTCTATTATCCTCCCTCCGTCCCACTCTTTTTGTCCACTTTCATTTTTACACATCATCCAATACACTTCTTTAATCCATTTTATCTTCTAATTTGTATATTAAAAAATTATAGAAATTATATATTAATAATCTATATGTTAAGACAAATCAAACAAGATCACACATGACTATATTTAGACTTACATATTGAGAGAATTTGATGAGTCAAAGTACTTAGATGAACAATTTCAAAAGTCAAAACTAGACAAAAAGAGTGGAACGGAGGTAGTACAAAACAATTCAATAGTGTTGAAACTAAATATTCATCGTCACTGGATATTGTTTTGATTATTAGTTATTATTCAAGTAATTTTTAGAAAAATAAAAAAGTTTAAATAAAGAGGATATGTTTTAGAATTATTTAATACTCCCTCCGTCCTATAATGATCTTCCCGGTTCGCAAAACGAAGAAAAATCCCAAGTTTTTTCAATCTATTTTATTTAAATATTGGTATAGAAATAAAAAATAAAACATACATATTTAAAAACTACACCAAAAGTTCAACAAAACAAGTGGTGACAAGAATATTTTATTTTATCATATAGGCCATGAAAAACACAAATAAATATAAATTCCCGTGAAGTTGGAATAGTGCTCTGGGAAGATCATTATAGGACGGAGGGAGTACAAATTTCATTTTTTTTTTATTTTGGAGGAAATGATAATGTACACACATTGATTAAGTAAACATAGAAATTGTTCAAAATTACAGTAGGTCCTTAAGAACTAACACATGGTGGATCTAAATAAATTCAGATTTATTAGGAGGAGAATACGAAGACCCACCACTTGTAGAAAGCAACGCCGTACACGACGGTGTAAAGAGCGACTCTCGCCGGATACATCCTAAACCTGCCGCCGGCCAGTTTATTGCAATTGTTCAGGAAAAGATGTATGTCTAATTAATTTAACCAGAACTGGAGAAGTAATAATTAATGGCCCACGACTGACCTGGACGGAACGGACTGTTTGGCCGTCGATGATCCGTGGGAGGCGGAGGTGACGGGGGAGAACCATTGGGAGACGGCACGGTCGAAGAACTCCCAGTCCGGCAAGATCAAACCGCCGACGGCGAACATCCCGAAGATGTAAGTGGCCGCCATTTTCTTGAAAGAGAAGTGGGTGTATATCCCTGTGAACAAAACGGCGGCCGCTACCCAGCAAAGCGACAGCCGGAGAACGGCATCGGTGTTCATTTGGCTCGGCGGCGGCCGATCTTTAGGATGAGGCGCGGACCGGTTGCGAGGTGTTGGGACGGGTACAAGATAAGGGTAGGTTTGCCGTGCCGTCTTTATTGCATTGTATAGTGACTTGTGAGATCACGGATGAGTATGGAAAAAGAAATATTCATACTATTGCTTTCAAAAATACGAGTAATCTTTTCATCTAATTTTTAAGCAAATTATCTAGAATAATACGGAGTATTAAATTTATCTCAATCGAGATACGACCCGAATCAACTTCATTCAGGTCAAAGAATTGCCTAGAAGTCAACTAAATTTAGGTAGTTCAAATAACGAGGGTGGGATGAGTGTGAGTCAAGAATTGGAAAATTTAAAGAGAGTTATGATTATGAACTACTCCCTATCAATATTTGGAAATGAAACATTTTCCCAAATTGGACGAAGGGAGTATCAAACTCCGTTTTCCAATAAAATAATTAACTTATATATACTGTAAAAAAAACTTATGTATGTTTGTTATGATCATGCAAAATGATGGATATAATCCACTAGTACCACCCGGCAAGTCCGCAGGCGCCCGGGAGTACCAAATTCTGGCCCTCCTGACGTCACCAATCCCGGAAGACTGCCCGAGTGGATGGCTTGAAGAATACCCGGGTGGATGGCTTGAAGACTACCCGGGTGGATGGCTTGAAGACTGTCTGGGTGGATGGCTTGAAGACTGCCAGGATGGATGGCTTGAAGACTGCCCGGGTGGATGACTTGAAGACTGCCCGTGTGGATGACTTGAGGACTGACCGGCCGGAAAAATAGTAACGTCGGGACGTGCTTATTCTTTATTATAAATAGGACTAAAAGCCTCATTTGTAAGACATGCTTTATTTAATCCACACGGCTTGTAGCTTGTAAACGGTCTTAATAATATTAATAACAAATCAGGTTACAGGTGTTTCCACCTACAGCCCTTCCGCTTTTTGTGACTTAGTTCTCACGTTGGTTTTACACCATCACAAAATATACTTTAAAATCAGTATAATTTAAAATAAAATACAATTCTCGTATAATTTATTCTAATTTTTTAAACCACCATTAGGGCAACTTAGTGATTTTGAATGTTGCCCAAGTTTTAAAAAGATGAATTTTTTCCTTGAAGGTATCTCAAAACTGGCTGGACAATAACCTGAGAACATGTAAATTGAGTTTTGATCATATATTGATGACAATAGATGAAACTTGTATTTGATACTTGTATGTGAATAATTGCTATGAAATAAGCTCAAATATTATTCTCTAAAAACCCTTATGTAACCAACTGTGTAACACTCACCACTAGCCTATATTTTAGTTTGGACCTTTTTGAATGTAGAGGCCTTGGAAAAAATATGGAGCCTGTTTTAGACGATTCAGCCTGGCTTAAACATAACAATTTATAATACGGAGTACTACTATTAATGTACAATTTGGCCCAAACACTCTCTAAGCCCGCCTAGCGTCCAGCTGTTAGCTTATTACCCGTCTGAACACACATTTCAGTATTTCACCATTAGACATCCTCCTGCAATTGGGCTATCGGGTCACTCAAATGTTCAAACAGAAAAGTTGGTTTACAATTGAATAGCCCAATTGTATAGTATTTTTCTGTTGAGATCCAGCCCATCATAGATAGCGCAAGACGCCTAACCATTTCCTCCCAACATAGCCCAAAATACGCTGCCACTCGGTCCACCAAGCAATTGCACTTGAGAGTTTGACCTTAATTAGTTGTTTTTTTAGTATTACACATAGGACCTCTAAATTTGAGCCGCTAAAATTATTCATTAGTATTTTTTCCGACGTAAAATTAAATTCTAAATTGTTTTTTATAATGTTCAAAAAAAAAAGATATACTCCCCCTTGTCTTGTTAGGATTTCGCGTGTTTTTATTACGAAGTACTGTATCAATGACTAAGCTAATAAGGTACTCTCTCCGTCCCGTTTTAAATCGCCTGTTTTGACTTTTGGGCATATTTAAGAAAAAAAATAGAGTTGATTTTTCGAAATTGTCAGTAATTTTTAGGAGGGATGACGTTGAATGAGAAGATAAGGGGGGGAGAAGAATGACTTATTTTAGAGGTAGTTTAGGTATTTTACTCTTAAAAGTTTACGAAAACAACTAACAGACAACTTATTTTGGGACGGAGAAAAAAGACAAACAGGCAATTTAAAATGGGACGGAAGTAGTATGTATTTTGATAAAAAAAAATTGATTCATAAAATAAAAATATTAGCAAAAATATATATAAATTATTAGGGCCGGCCCAAAAGAAGGCAAAGGTACTCTATCGGTCGAGACCCATTTTTTTAGGGGCCCAACATTTGTAATACAACTTTGTTGTGTACACCATTATAATATTAATTGTTTTTTTAAAAAAATAATTTATATTATTTAATTTGTTAGGGTCAGGACTCATTTTTTCGTCTCGTTCAGGACCATCATATCGTATCCTCAGGATTGACCCTGTATATTAGAGAGTATTGTATTTGTAACATATTTTAAGCATAAGCATATTACAAATATATCAATTGCCAACAAACAAATACATCTGTCAAGGAACCGATTCAACCAAAAGCTCAAGCTTGTGGTTGTGGCCCAGGAACAGTTATTTATATTCTAACACGCCTCCTCACGTGCAGTAGTCTTTTTCGAGCCTTGCACGTGAAACTTTAATTTTTAAACTGGGTGGCGCTGAGTTTCGAACCCCTGATCTCTTAGTCAACGAGGCTCTGATACCATGTCAAGGAACTGATTCAACCAAAAGCTCAAGCTTGTGGTTGTGGCCCAGGAACAGTTATTTATATTCTAACAATATCAATTAAAGTATTGAACCATTAATTAAATTAAACTGCAAATGACAAGTATGAGTGTTCGAGTAAAATGAACGAAGGCGGCAAGTTTATAATGTCACAATTTCAATTGGTTGTACTTAATGCGGAGTACTCCCTATGAAAATAGTTTCCAAATTCTCCTATTTTTGGTCAAACTGTAAATCTTTAAAAATTTTGACGCAATCTTTTGATGCTACTATAGTACTATGTAACTTTTATTTCTTAATATCATAAAAAAAATACAAAATTCATGTAATTTATTACGAGACAGAAAGAGCGTATCATACGAAAACCCATATAATGAAGTGGGTTCACACATTTTTGACAATCGTAATGTTTGTTCATCTTGGACAACTAACATAAAGTCCAAATTTCTTTTTGGTGATTGCAATTGCTCAAAAGGCCATCGCCGTTGCCGTGGAGGTGACCTAATTGGGACGGATGTTACCACGTAAATCTCGTGTGCTTTCTGATTCCTTTTTTAATTCTTCATTTCATATCAGCTTAGATTGTGTGTGTGATTTGGGATCCAATCAAAGAGTACCAAAGTGGTGTGTGATCCACAGTGGCTTCATGTGCTTTACAAATTGATGAATTGGACATTTGCAATGGCAGGACTTGAAATCTTGAAGTATCCTAAAATGATCTTCTCCGTTCCATTTACGGGATGTGACTGGCAAAAATAAAAAATTTGACTATGTAAATAGCTAGTGATTGAGAAGACTACTATATTGGGACACTACACTACTATACTAGATATTCAATTCGACCTCGGAGAGGAAGCTCATCTTTTTTTAGATATTCAATACAATTTTTGACACTCCCTATCTAAAAGTAAAAAAAATTACCAGTAAAATTTTAAACATGAAACCTGAATATCGTAGAGCTTTTGATTAAAAATTGAAGTTGGAAGTTTAAAGAATAAGATTTAGAAATTAAATTTTTATGTGAATATTGAATTTTAAAAATACTCTGTGTTATGTAACTCTTCAACTTTAATATGTAGATGACATGTGAAATAATGTAGGGGTAGAGCCAATGAAAGAAGCCACATACAACCATTTACTCTTGAATCTTGATGGTGTAAATTACCACGCAAATGTTAAGTACAAGTAATCGGAAGGGTTGTAGGTGGAAACACCCGTAACCCGGCTTGTTATTAATGAAAGTAGGAACTTATTACAATCAGTACAGGCCGTGTGGATTAATTAAAGCATGCCCCACAAATGAGGCTTTTAGGGGTATTTATAATAAAAACAAGCACGTCAAGCACGTCCCGACGTTACTGTTCTTCCAGTCGGTCAGCCTTCAAGTCATGCACCCGGGCAGTCTTCAAGTCATCCACCCGGGCAGTCTTCAGGTCATCCACCCGGGCAGTCTTCAAGCCATCCTCCCAGGCAATCTTCAAGCCATCCACCCGGGCAGATTAACGGGGACGGTGAGGTCAAGCCTGGTCAGACTTTAAGCCTTATGCGAATGAAGTCACGATCTCACATGTCTGACCCCCGACATCCACCCAGGCAGTCTACCGGGGTTGGTGACGTCAGGCGGGGCAAGAATTTGGTACCCCCAGGCGCCTGTGAACTTGCCGGGTGGTACTAGTGGATTATATTCATCAAGGAGTCCTCCGATTCTCGGCTTTGTGGGCACCATCAAGGGCGGGAATCAAGTGTCTGGATAATTTTGAATTTTTTGAATCCTCGGGTATGGTTGGCGGGAAAGTTTTTACGGAAACTTGGTACGCCGCCGCCTAGTCATCGCGTCGTTTCCTCTTCCCGAATCGGGCAGGAGTGGGCCACCCGGCTGGTCAGGTGCTTGATAGATGAGAAGCTCCAGATGAAGCCGGTCAGACGGGCCAGCTAGAGGTGGAGAATGCCCAGCTAAAGGCTGAGCTGGAGACGGAGCGCTCCGACCGGGCTGTTCACGCCGTTGCTTGGGCTGCGCAGGAACCGCAGAAGTTTGCTGTCCAGGCACTTTCTGACTGGGAGGTCGGCATTCGGTTATTCTAAGTGTCCCAGCAACTGATTGATGACATTGGGATCTTCGGGTTTGGGACCGATGAGTACCAAAAGCACCGTGGGCAATACGGGATCTTGAGCAACCGGGTGCAGGATTTTGACCCCCGCTGTTCGAACTCTCAATCTATTTGTTCACGGCCGAGCTGAATCTACCCGGTCTAACGCATCTCACCATTCTTTCTACCTGAGTAGAAAATAAGCCACCCGGGTGGGTTTTGACAGAGCATGCTCAGGCTAT